GACCAATCATTTGTGTTTATTCATCCATGAGAAAATGCTCCATGTTGGTTCTGAATTGGAAGATGGGCTTTGCAAACCCGACACTTCCCTTGTCTTTCTAGATGCTCTGTCTTTGGGTCGAACTCCTGCTTTTCAGCAGTCTCTGCCTTCTGTCCGGCCTCTTCCTCCTTTGGGGGGCTCCTTCCCCTGTGTCCTGAGGCCATCCTCCTGAGGACAGCGCCAACCTCCTTGTCTGGGACCCTGTCTGATCCTCTGCCCGCGGTCGGCCTTGTGTTTGCATACGTGTGCACACGCAGCGGCACCTCAACCCAGTGGTCCCCAGCTCGGGGCAAGCCCCAGGCCCACTCCTATCGCGTTTGTGCCTCCCCTCTCCCGTGGCAGCCCGTGATGCTCTGATGCTGCTGAACGGGGGGACAAACCCCTACTGGACCCCAGTGTGTGTGGAAGGGTGAAGGGTGCCCAGTTAGAGGCTGCCCAGGTGCTCCACAGGGACATCAGCACATGGCGTAACTGAGCACGTCCCCAAACCCCAGTGACGTGTGCTCCTCCTGCACTTCTCACAAGGAACCCTTCTCGCTTAAGGAACGGGGACACTGAGGCCCAGGGACGGTGGTCGCCTGCCCAAGGCCAGTCAGGCGGGAAACAGAGGCGTCAGGGTCCCATCTCTGGCAAACCTCTGACTCCCTCTGACCTCAAAGCGCAAACCAAGCTCGCGGCACTCCCCAGGTGCGTCCACGGATGCGAGCGCCGCTCTGACGGAGACACAAAGGAGCATTCCCAGGAGCGGGGTCGGTCCTCAGGGGCACCTCGCGGGTCCTCAAGGTCGCGCCTGTCCTGTGGGGGTCCCGCCGCCCACCGCCCGGCTTCCCCGCCGTCCTGACGGAGCGTTCGCTGGGTCCCAAAGAGCAGGGGGCGGGGGCGGCCCCCATCCCCGGAGACCCCACCACGCAGGCCCCGGACCCTCCCGCCCGGTCGGGCCGGGGTCGGGCCCGGCCGGGGGCAGCGCGTGGCGGGACTCGCGCCGCCTGTCGGTGCGGCCCGGAATGGCCGCTCCCGGGGCTCCTGCCTTCAGTCCCCGGCGCTTCCGCCCGGCCCCCTAGCTTCCCACCCCAATCCCTGCCCGACAGCAAGGGGCGGCGGAGCGGGCCCGGGGAGGAGGGCGGAGGCGACGCGGAAGATCCCCTCCCATCTGCTCCCCGGTGGGCTGCTGTGAAGCGTCCCGAGCAGGATCAGCACAGGCCAGCGTCGGGAAACGGAGGCGCAGAAGCGCGAGCCCGGCCCCGAAGTGGAAGGTGGCGTGCGGAGGACCCGGCCTTCTGGGCCGGACAGGGGGGAGGGCTGAGGGGAGAGGGGCGAGGGGCGAAGGGCGGGGCGGTGGGCGGGGTCCGGGCGGGGCGGTGGGTGGGCGGGCTGGACGGAGCGGGCGGGGCAGCGGGCGGGGCAGCGGCCAGCGCGGGTCTGGGCGGAGCCGTGGGGGGGCGGGGGTCTGGGGGGGGGCAAATCTCTGATAGGAAACCTACATTAAATTGATTGTCTAGAGACTCAGTACTTTCTGGAGCATTCGCGAGGTTACACTTTTGCCTAAAATAGGTTTTCTTTCTATGGCGGAAGAACAACTGGCACCTTGGCTGTGAATTCTTGGTGAGTCATCAGCAACCATGCACTCAGTGTGAAACTGTGCTCAGCTGTTAGTTGCTATTTACTTGTCAGCAGGGGAGAGAAATAAGATTAGTTAATTGGTGTGTGCAAGTGCCTGGCTTTGGAGAAAATATGGTCAGTCCCTTTTTAGTTCCTCGGTCTATTTTTTTTAAGCATCAGAGAAAGAAACTAAGAAATGCTTTTCCATAGTCAAATGGGATAAAAATTTCACATTATGTAAAGAGATTCTTTGCATATCCACAGATGGCAGATATTCCTTCTTTCCTCCACCTTTCATAGTAAAGGACCCCTGGATGGTGCTCTAGACCAGAGTCCACTGCACAATGTCACACAGAAACCAACTGTGTGGAATGAGCTCTGTGTTTCAGAAACAAGACAGGTGACAGGCAGTTCCATGATTAAACATAGTTACTACAGGACCCAGACATTCCACGCCAACATAAGGGACATAAAAGCATACGTCCACACAGAAACTTGTACACAAATGTTCAAAGCAACTCTATTCTCAGAGCCAAAGGGTGGAAACAACCCAAATGTCCACCCACAGATTAATAGATAAGCAAAATGTGGTCCATCCACACTATGGAATGTTATTCAGCTTTTAAAAAGGAAGGAAATTGTGACACTTGCCACAATATTGTGAACAGGGAAGACACGCTAAGTGAAATAACCCAGTCACAAAAGGATGAATACTGTATGATTCTATTTATATGAGGTTCCTAGAGCCGTCAAATTCATAGAAGGTAGAATGGTGGTTTCCAGGGGCTGGGGAGGCAGATGGGAATTTAGTGTTTAATGGGGACAGAGTTTCAGCTTGAGAAAGATGAAAACACTCTGCAGATGATTGGTGGTGATGGTTGCACAGTGTGAATGTGCTTCATGTCACTGAGCTGTACATTTAAATTGTATGTTATATATATTTTAAAATTTAAAAATAAAAACAAAACAAAACTGGAGCTGTCTTGCTGTACCGACCAGCTCCAACATTGGAAGCTATGGTCAGGGCCTCTGGTCCTCCCAGTTGCTCTGAGCCCTCCTTTCCTCACTATAGTAGTAATGACAAGCTCCACCTCTCAGGATTGCCATGAGGTTAAAGTGGGCAACCACAGACGTCCCGGGGCTCTCACAATAGGCCTGGACCACTTTATACCCTTGTCCCTGGCCCCAGGGACAGTGTGGGAAGATTCTCCTCCCCTTTTCCCTGGAGTCACATGTGACCTGCACTTACCACTTAATGTCACAGTCAGAGGAAACTGAGATCAGTCACAATCCGCCAAGAGGCGTTCATGGGAGCTGCCAGGGGTGGGAGGGGGGACCTACCTGTTTTCCTTTCAAGGTAAGGGGTTGCCATGTGCAATTCTGGAGACATTTTTAGTGGTTACAACTGGGAGAGGAGTGCACTGGCTTCTAACGGATGGGGGTCAGGGATGCTGCTCAGTATCCAGCAATGCACAGGACAATCCACCACAGAGAATAATCCAGACCCCTGGAGCTGGTTCAGACACCCTGCTCTAGACCCCGAGACCATCCAAGAGCACCAGGAAAGGTGAGCTGAGGAATTGGTGGGCACAAACACAAATTGGTGGGCACAAACTGAGAGCCCCAGCTCTCAGTGGGCAGAACTCCACACTCCAGGACTCATTCTTGCTCTGGGTAGACCCAGGGCCCCTCCCCACCATGGGCCCTGTTGTGGACTGAATATGCCCCCCGAATCCATATATCGAAGCCCTAAATCCCAGTATGGTAATACCTGGAGATGTGGCCTTTCGAAGGTAATTAGAGCCAAATAATATCATCAGAGTGGGGCCCTTGAGATGGGATTAGTGTCCTTAGAACTCCTGCCATGTGAGGACATAGGAAGAAGGCAGCCATCTGCAAGCCAGGAAGAGAGTCTCAACAGGAACCGAAACAGCCAGTACCTTGGTCATGGACTTCTACAGAACAGTGAGAAGTAAATATCTGCGGTTTAAGCCCCCAGCCTGGGGTATTTTGTCATAGCAGCCCAAGCTGATGAAGATAGGCCCCTTCTGCTCACGACTGGCAGGGGCTTCTCATGTTTGTGTGTGTTTGTGAAATCTGCACCTGCTGCTTGTGACAAGGAAGCACATTTTCCAGTCACTGTGCCTTTCTCAGAGCTGCAGATAGCCCAGAATGTGGAGATGGCAGGTGTGCAAGTGGGTCACTTTAATTAGATGGGATGCACAAGAGTGCACCCAGACCCCATTCTGCCCAGCACTGAGTGCACCGCCAGGCTCACCCACATCTCAAGGGTGGAGCCCCAGGCGTTGTCTGGTGGGGACCTTGATTATGCATACTCAGAGGATATTCTAAGATGAATGATACAAGGTTGCCAAGCCTGAAGAGATCTCCCCTGTGGGTTGCTGCCAGAGCTTCCTACTACAGTTGATTGGTCCAGAGGTGGGCATGGATTCCCATCAGGGCCGATACCTACATGGGAATTTTGGTATTGGATCTGAGAGCCAATCAGGCCAATCTCCCTCCACCGCCCATTACCCCCTAGATAGGGAGAGAAGTCTGGGGACTGGAGGGTACCCACCTTGTCCTCTCCCCCAGCCCCCCGCACAAACACACGCACACAGGCGCACGTGCGCAGACACATGCACACACACACATTCACACAAGCGGAGGCGCATAGATGCACACGAACAAGCACGTAGGCACACACACGAACACGTGCACATGTACACAGGCGCACGCGCGCACACAGGCACGCGCACCACGCGCTCTGGGACAAAGACGAGGTTCTGGAGGAACCGTGGGGGACACCGCGAGCCCAGGCTCACCAGGACAGGGACCTTGACGCCAGGCGACCTGGCCCTGGCCTCCCGGCTGCTTGTCCGCGAACGGAACCCGCCCTTGCGGCTCCCCCACCCAGCCCAGCGACGTCTCCAGGTGGCAGGACGTGGAGGACGCAGCAGCAGGCTGGCCATCCCTGGAGCCCGGCCCACGCCCCGGCCCGGCATCACCCTCGCCGCTTCACAGCAGCGCGAGACCCAGCCCAGCCCCTGCACTCCCCGCCCCCTGGCTCCGCCCCACCCCGCCTCCGGACCTCATTGGCTGTGGCCGTAATAACGTCGCCTTTGGTCCCCGCCCCCCGCCCCGCCCCTGCCCCGCCCCCAGGCTAGCAACAGCGGCGACTAACAGATCTTCCTGGGAGGGGCGTGTGGACTATGGCCTGGAGGCGGAGACGAAAGAGAGATAGACGGGCAACCCAGTCAATGAGCGCGCGCAGCTGCCCTAGCAACTGCGGCTCGCCAATGGCGGGGCGGGGCGGGCATGGTGGGGCGGGGCTACGCGCTGTCAGCTGCGGGGGCCGCCGACCCGCCGCGATCTGTGGACAGCGGGGCCGGCTCGGCGCCTCGGTGCCCGGCAGCCGCCTCTGCGCCGTCCCACGGGCCGGGCATGGGCGCAGGCGTCGGCGGCGGCACGATGAGCACCCTGGGCAGCCCTGTCCGCGCTTACGACTTCCTGCTCAAGTTCTTGCTTGTGGGCGACAGCGACGTGGGCAAAGGCGAGATCCTGGCAAGCCTGCAGGATGGCGCGGCCGAGTCCCCGTACGGCCACCCGGCGGGTGAGCGCGGGGCCAGTACGGGGGAACAGAGCCCAAGGAGCGCGCGGTGGGCCTGGGGAGCGCAAGGGGGCCCGAGGAGCGCGCGGCGAGCCGGGGGTGGGGTGGGGGCGGGGCCGGAGGAGCGCGCGGCGGGCCCGGGAGTGCAGGGGGTGCCAGGGGAGCGCGCGGCGGGCCCGGGAGCGCACGGGAAACCAGGGGAACGCGCAGCGGGCCGGGGAGCTGACGAGGGGCCGGGGGACGGGGAGCGCGCGGCGGGCCAGGGAGCGCTCGGGGAACCGGGGAAGCGCGCGGCGGGCCAGGGAGCGCACGGGGAACCGGGGAAGCGCGCGGCGGCCTGGGAGGAGAGGGGCCGAGGGAGCGCCTTGGGCCGGGGGAACGCGCAGCGGGCCAGGGAGTGCAGGGGGGGAGACCAAGGGAGCGCGCAGAGGACCAGGGAGCGCACCGGCGACCTGCGGCCGGCCGGGTGGAGCCGAACCCAGGCACCAGAGTAGTGCGCCGAGGAGCTGGAGGTGCGGGGACTGGGAGCGGGGCCGAGGGGGCGCAAAGAGGAGCGGGGGTGGAATGCGCGAAGGGACGCGGATCCAGGAGCGCAGGGCTCAGCTCCCGCCTCTCTGCCTGAGTCGGGCGCGCGCTTCGAGGGAATCCCCCGCTGCACTCCCAGTGCCCACGAGGGGAATGCAGCGTGTCCTCCGTAGTCTCACCAAGGTCCGCTTCCCCGCGGGAACTAGCGGCTGGGCAGGGTGCTGGGGTACTTCTGAACTGGGCTGACGGACTAGGCGGAGGGGAGCGGACGGACCACACAGGTGGGGTTTCGGGAGGAGGTAGCCGGGCTGCTGTAAGTGGGCCCAGCCGGGAGGCCACAAGCGCGTGCAACGCGTTTGGAAAGGATGCGTGGGGGTTAAGAAGCGGGCGGGAGGGAATGGGCGGAGGCTCCCAGGTGGTGGCTCTGCGCGTGGGTGAGATGGAAGGGGAGGGAGAGAGGAAGCAAGAAAACTAGTCTGGACGCTTCTCCAAGGTTCCTGGCGTGTCCGAGGGGCTCCTCGCCCTGGCGAACAGGCCCGGGAGGGCAAGAAACCCAAATGACCCTCGAGAATGCGGCCTGAGGGCGAGAAAGGGAAGCACCATAGAAAGTGAAGGAGTGTGGGTTCCGTGTGGGGAAGCCAGAGGACTCAGAGCTTGAGGACAGTGGGCAGGGGGGCCCCAAAGTTTGAGGTTTGAGGGCCGAAGGCCCCAAGACGGGGTGGACATTAGGAGGGAAAGAAGGGCAGGGGAGAGGAGAGGAAAGTGAGGTGGGCAGAAAGCTGGGCCAGCAGGCAGGAGAGTCAGGGTCTTCACCCAGGCCGCTGCCCCGACCGTGCAGGTCTGCAGGTCGGGTGGCTGTGAAGGGCACCTGCCTGCGATCACCTTTTCACTTTCATGTCAGGGGCTCAAGGCGCACTTCCAACACAAACCTGGCTGCTCAGGGTCTTGCCCCTCTCTGTCTCCTGGGCTTGCAGTCGGGTTCTCCAGAAGCAGAAGAGGGCAGCCCGGGAAGTGGAGTCTTGATGTTTAAGCCAGCCTAGGTGTGTGCTTCCCGCCCTGACTGGGCAGCGTCGGCTTAAGAAGAGGGTGCAGAGGAGGAAGTTTTGGGTCCAGGGGACCTCACTGGGAGATAACTTGATTTGAGGCAAGAGGGACAGGAGGTGCAGGGCAAAGGTTGTGGTAGGACCAAAGGTGGGCTATGTGAGGATGAGGGATGTAAAAAGAGAAAGTGGTCTGCAAAGCTGGCAGAGGGAGGAAGCCTGTAGCTTCTGAGCAGGGATGTGAGCGACTTAGGTGGAATGGCCTGAGACAGGCCTTTAAGATTGGAGGTGTGGGGGTGGGAGAAAGTTGGGGAGAGTTTTGGGTTGGTTCTGGAGAACCTATGCCAAGAACCTGGACTCTTCCTGAAGCTGCCAGTGCGAGAGTCACCCAGGGGACTTGTGAAAATGCAGATTCTGTCTCTGATTCCAGATCTGTGTTATCCAAGGTGATGCCATCAGCCACGTGAGATTTTTTAAATTTAAAGGAGTGAAAATAAGATATGATGAAAGGTTCATATTAGCCACGTTCAAGTGCCCAGCACTTGGCTCCTGACAGGTGTGGCAGAGCCCTGCTGGAAGGCTCAGCTCTGGGGCTTAAGCTGCAGGAGGGCAGCGGGTTTTGTCTGTTTGCTCCGTGCTGGTGTCCTCAGGGCCTGGGGGGCAGTGGGTGGAGGAGTAAACTTTGAACAAATAAAGCATCGGGCTTTTAAAACTGTGTGCCTGGGCGGGGGTGGCGGGGGGGAGACAAGCTGTAGTTTTGAGTTCTTGTAGTCAGTGAGTGATGTACAGCAAATGGGAGGAGTGTGGACAGAATATGTGTCCTGGTTGTTTGAATAGAGGCTTGGGTACGCTTCGTTGTGTTACTTTCTTTTTGTTATATGCGAACTGAGCACTTGTAAAAGCAACTAGTTAATGCTTTCTTCTAAAGGTTTTTCCTCGACACAGAGGGAGGATTTAGGTTAAAAAGTCACTTTCCAGGAGATTGTAAGGAGTTGGAATCATTGTCAGTATTATTACTATTACTATTAATATTAAAGACACATTTCACTTTGCATCAGTGCTTCAGGGAGCATCGGAAGTGGAGGGCATTTCCAGCCTCCTGTTCCCATCCCGTTTCCAGCCCCCTACCCCCCTCCTCATGTGTACCCCTGTTGCTCTAAATTTGCCCCGGTTTCTGTACTGGGGTTACAGTGCCCGCAGTCCCTCAGTATCAGATGCTGACCATGAGTCTTTTCTCCACCACTGTGTCTCTGACTTCTGTATTTTGCTGTCCCTCTAATTAGCTACATTTCATTTCCAGCCATTTTCCAGGAAGTGCTCGTGAGTATTTTCATGTTTGAGAATGTCTGTCCTTTGTCTTTATCTGTGAACAGTATCTCAGTTAGGTTAGAATGTGTCCTCAGGCTGTATGTTCTTTCCCTTCACACTTTGTCACCATGGCTCCACTGGGCTCCCTCACTCGCTCTGAGGTCCGCTGCTGGTCTCTCCTTGTGGGTGATTTGCCTTTTCTTCCGAGTTCCTCAGCTTAAGCAGACGTGTCTCAAAGTCAAAGGCTTGGTGTTGAACTTCTGATACACTGTGTACTCTTTGAATTTGCAGATTTTGTATTTAATTTCAGGGAAATTTACTTTATGTCCCTAAAACATCTGTTATATTGATTGGTGTTTACATCAGGTTTCCTATTGCTGCTGGGCAAATTGCCACAAACTTAGTAGCTTAAAACACAGATTTATTATCTGACAATTCTGGGGGCCACCATCTCCCTGGGATGAAATTGAGGTGTTGGTAGGGGCTGTGTCCTTTCTGGAGGTGCCAGCAGTGAATCTGTTTGCTTGCCTTTCCCAGCTTCTGGAAGCCTCCCGCACTCCCCGGCTCCAGGCCTCTTCTTCGCCTTCGAAGCTGACAGTAGTAATGCTACCTGTCTCATGCTGCACCCCCCAGCCTGACTCTCTCTCTTCTGCTTTCAGGAGCCCTTGTGATGGCACTGGGCCCATTTGTTAATCCATGATAATCTCTGTATTTAAAGATCACCCAGGTAGCAAACCTAATTCCTTCTGCAGTCTTACCTGCCCTTTGCCATGTAACCTCCCAGAGTCACGTATTCTGAGGATTATAGCGTGGATACCTTTGGGGAGCTGTTACGTATGACACTGCCTGCCGTACGCATTATCCTTGTGCTGGATCGGTTTTAGCTGTGTTCCACATCCCTTCACTTCTCTCTACCTGCTTTGATCTTTTTGTCTCTCTCTTCTGAATTTCTGTGGGCATCTCAAGCCTTTCCTATTTGTTGGTAATTTTTATTTTAGTGAACTGTTTCTAGCTGTTTCTAACCTTTTTATTAGGTTAGTAAATGATGTTTTGGTCTTCAATTTTTTCCTTACCCTTACAATTTTCATTTACAATTTTTAAAAACTTCTTTAAATGGGGCACCTGGGTGGCACAGAAGGTTGGGCATCTGACTCGGTTTCAGGTCAGGTTGTGATCTCAGGGTGGTGAGATCGAGCCCCGAATCAGGCACTGCGCTCAGTGGGGAGTCAGCTTGAGATTCTCTCTCCTGCCTCTGCCCCTCCCACTTGTGCTCTCTGTCTTTCCAATAAATAAATAAATCTTAAAATTTTTTCTTTAAATAATTTATTTCACTAAAAAAATCTCTCATTTTGCTAACTTAATGTTTGTTGTTGTTTTTTTTTAATAAATTTTATTTATTTATTTGACAGAGAGAGACACAGCGAGAGAGGGAACACAAGCAGGGGGAGTGGGAGAGGGAGAAGCAGGCTTCCCGCCGAGCAGGGAGCCCGATGCGGGGCTCGATCCCAGGACCCTGAGATCATGACCTGAGCCGGAGGCAGACGCTTAACGACTGAGCCACCCAGGCGCCCCACCAACTTAATGTTTTTGTTAAATTGTTCCATTGCATGAAGTAATTGGGATGAATGTCCTTCTGTTCCTTGGGTCGTGTTTCCTTTCAAGTTGGGTTCTTTGTCTCTTTTTCCTTTTATAACTTTTTGTTAAAGTGTGATACGCATGCAGAATGGCTGAGGGGCCCACCTCCCGCTTTTGGGCCTGCTGGCCCTGGAGCCTCCCTCGGATCTGGAGGGTTGGTACCTCGTTCAGCCTCTTCTCCCAGGTAGATGTGGTGAGTAAAAGGCCTGGACAGCCAAGCTCTGTTTGGAGAGTGAAGTCAGGGCCACCACTGGGCTTCTCCTCTCTGTTCACTGGTGAGGGTCTCTCCCCTTGGCTCCAGCTGGTAGTGTTTCCAGCAGGGCGTTACCTTTCCTTCTCTGGTTGCTGAGTTTCTACAGTGGGAGAGGAAGGTAGATGAAATGGACTCTAAATTCTGCAATCTCTTTGCCTCCCAACTTTTTCCCAAAGAGACTCACTATTTTCTGATTACTTTCTCCTGGCTGCTTCCCCAACTTCCTTTTGCCAGCAAGAACA